AAAAAAAAAAATTAGCCTAGAGCATGGAAAAGTAACCTCAAAGGACAAAGTCAGTGTGTTTTAGTTTGATCCAGAGGAGACAGACAAGACCTCAATGCTTGTGTCACTTAGAGAGTTAGTATACTTGTCTGGTAGCGATGACTCAAGGAGCCTTGGTATGGCCCCTATAAATTACCCCACAAGTTAGCGACATCTTTGCCACAGTCCCATGATTGCCAAGCAACTTTTATGTGATTAATTTGGCCTTTAATGGTCTTATACTGTGAAAAAATTGTTCTCGATGGGACACAGGATATTCAGATCACAAGATACATAGAACAATTGTTCGAAATCTCCTGATGTGCTGGCAAATGTTCATTTAATCTTTTGTGAATTCGATTAGCATCTATTACCCTGCCTGAGTCTGAGTCCAGCCAATTTTATGACCTTGGAAAGACTGGTTGGTGATCAAAAGAGATCACGTTGATAACATTCTATGAAGCTTCTTCATTAAACAACCAACTCTTGGTTTTGTTTTTTTTCTGGTCACTTGCTTTAAATACTAATAAAATTCTCCCTGTCCTATGTAAAATAAAGGGGGAAATGTGAGCAATCAGCATTTTAAGATAAGCCCAGAGTATTTGAATTTTAAAAAGTAACTACAAAACAAAATGAGCAGATCTATTTTTTTATTACTTTGGAAATAATGTATTAAAGGTAACATGTATATGAGTGGTATGTAGTGGTTACAACAGCTGCATTGTAGAAAACAGTCACTGATTTCTCAACCCTGTTGTTTCTAGATTTGTAAGCAGCACTCCAAGTGCAGTCAACTGCTTTTCTGACCTTGTTTTGTCTCCATAGAAATTATATTCAGAACCACTCTCCTCTTCATCAATAGATACTTTCAAAGATTTAATGGAGAAGTTAGAACATATACTCACCTAATATTTTAGACTACATCTATTTCTGTTTTCTCTCCTGGTTATCTTATTCTTGTGGTCCATGATCAATATGTAAATAGCAAATATCTACTATACCTTGTGCTGTGTGAGACAAATGTACGTGAGCTTGCTTTGGAGAGGCTAGCGTTTCATTTAGTAATCAGCCCTTTATTGATATGTTGTGTATAAGTACTTTGCAGTTCTTTGATCGAGATTCCAGGTGGTTTGGGAAAGCAATGTTAGGAGATGCATGTAATATAACTTTATGATTAATTTAATTATAACAACATGTGTAAACATATTTGGGAGTCTAAGGGTTACTGCTCCAACTCCATACAGATCTTAAGACTGATAGGTAATCTTTAAGGTAAACAGTGATCTGGTGTTACTTGGTGCTTGCTCTACTACTCATCTAAATTATCTTTTATAATTTAGCCTCTTCTAGTTTGTTTGGGGGACTGCTTTTTTTTCTTCCTAATTTAGTTTATTTTCATCATTTAGGAGATAATATTTCCGTAAGCAATCCTGAAGGCAATTTTCAAAAATCCCAGATGGAAGAATTAGAAGATCTCTTTTTATTGGCAGCTGGAACTGGCTTCACACCAATGGTTAAAATACTGAATTATGCATTGACTAGTATATCCAGTCTCAGGTAATGTAATTTCATCTGTTACTATCCTTTAGAGGCTATTAGATAGTATATAGTATTCTAAATTGATTAAATATGCAGATTTTAATAGACATGCTCTCATTCCTACACTTGATCTTAGCCAAAA